AGCTAACTAACTGACTGACTGACTAACTAACTAACTGACTGACTAACTAACTAACTAACTAACTGACTAACTAACTAACTAACTGACTAACTAACTAACTAACTAACTGACTAACTAACTAACTAACTAACTAACTGACTGACTAACTAACTAACTAACTAACTGACTAACTAACTGACTAACTAACTAACTAACTAACTAACTGACTGACTAACTAACTAACTAACTAACTGACTAACTAACTAACTGACTAACTAACTAACTAACTAACTAACTAACTAACTAACTAACTAACTATTTAACTGGCTAACTAACTAACTAACTAACTAACTAACTAACTAACTGACTAACTAACTAACTAACTAACTAACTAACTGACTAACTAACTAACTAACTAACTAACTAACTAACCAACTGACTAACTAACTAACTAATTAACTAACTAACTAACTGACTAACTAACTAACTAACTAACTAACTAACTAACTAACTGACTAGCTAACTAACTAACTAACTAACTAACTAACTAACTAACTGACTAACTAACTAACTAACTAACTGACTGACTAACTAACTAACTAACTAACTAACTAACTAACTAACTGACTGACTGACTAACTAACTAACTAACTAATTAACTAACTAACTGACTAACTAACTAAATAACTAACTAACTAACTGACTAACTAACTAACTAACTAACTAACTAACTAACCAACTAACTAACTAACTAACTAACTAACTAACTGACTAACTAACTAACTAACTAACTGACTAACTAACTAACTAACTAACTAACTAACTAAATGACTAACTAACTAACTAACTAACTAACTAACTAAATGACTAACTAACTAACTAACTAACTAACTAACCAACTGACTAACTAACTAACTAACTAACTAACTAACTGACTAACTAACTAACTAACTAACTAACTAACTAACTAACTAACTAACCAACTGACTAACTAACTAACTAACTAACTAACTAACTGACTAACTAACTAACTAACTAACTAACTAACTAACTAACTAACTGACTAACTAACTAACTGACTAACTAACTAACTAACTGACTAACTAACTAACTGACTGACTAACTAACTAACTAACTAACCATCTGACTAACTAACTAACCAACTAACTAACTAACAAACTAACTAACTGACTGACTAACTAACTAACTAACTAACTGACTAACTAACTAACTAACTAACTAACTAACTGACTAACTAACTAACTAACTAACTAACTAACTAACTAACAAACTGACTAACTAACTAACTAACTAACTAACTAACTAACTAACTAACTAACTGACTAACTAACTAACTAACTA